TTTGGTACTTACAAGTTTTCGCGAAAATCGAAATTTGACTCAGGACCTTGATTTTTATACACCTAATAGAGACCATAGACCTCAGTATCTGGTATAAATTTCAACTTGCTAGGTCTACCCGTTCCTGAGAAAATCATTGGTGACACACGGAAAGACGGACAGACGGACAAGAAAGTGATCTTATAAGGGTTCCTTTTTTACCTTTTGAGGTAAGGAACCCTATAAATTAATATTTTTTATATTAACATCTTTAGAGTTTTACTGACAAATTTAATTAATTATAAGCTTTAGAAATAAAAAATGTGAACTTATTAATGTAATGGAATGTATTTTTGCTCCAATATTGCATATTGGAGCAAAACATTGTGGTTTAAAATTTTTCTTGTGCAAACTCTATTCATCTGGTTAGTAGAAAGCTGCAGACGACTTTCTGTGTATTTTTATAAACCGCGTGGAGTGTATGGTACTTTCCTTACCATCAGGTGATATTAAATAAAACTTCATATATTATTATAAATGGTTTGTTTATTGATATTCCTTAATATTTATGTACACTAGTATAGCAATTACTATTAAGTTACCACCAATATTTACATAACATTCTTTCTAAAACTAAATAACGCTTACGTAATTTAGCAAATTACCAATTGTATTCTTTGTCACTGAATTTAAAAGTTTGTGCTTTTTTAATTTTATAAAAAAAATTGAATTTTCTATTTCCAATTTTTAATAAAATAATATTTATTTAATATAACGTTATTAAAAAAATATCATATGAAACTGAAAATTCAGTCATCGTAAGTTATTTTCGCCCTAGTCATTCTACAAATTAGTTTTAATTGAAGACTGCAAACCGCATCATCGAAAATAGGTTTCCTGTGGTACGTTTCTGTGGACTATAAACAAAGTTGCCAAGAGCGACTTTTGACGTCGACGGACATAAATGAGGCTTTATATATTTCAACTCGTATTTCATAAAAGAATATAAGTACCAATAAATTTGCATACGAAAATAATTTTATGTCGAGTATATATAAAATGTATGTATAGCAAATGAATGCGTTAAGACTAAAATAAAAACATATGAAAAGAGTAATTAACCCGGCGGGAGGCGCACCGCTGTTTAGGCCACAAACAGTCGCTACTGGGTAAAAAATACCACATTTAACGAATGGAATGATTAAATTATAGGTATGATTATTAATAAATATAAATTAAAATAACTAAATATATCCATAATTTGCAATGATAACTTGAGAAATAATATTTTATGTATTTATTTAGTCTCCTAATTTTATAAATCAATTTCACTTACTAAATGTTAGTAATTTTTTTTAATATCTATGAACTTAGTGATAAAAATAGCATTAAACTTGGTAATACTACTAAATTAAGATCAATCACAAAAGACCACTTATAACCCAATATAATATTCCCACTTATAACATAAAACCTACAACATAACATAACAACTACTTGTAAAAGTGACTAATTATACAATTTGGCCCTTTAGTTTTAGGCAATTGAGAATCACTTTATTTTTGTTTATTACACTTATTTTTTATTACTTTTTTGATGACATTCCTTTCAAACAGGTATATATAGTATGTTCGCGACGTATCATTTTTAGGCGAAACGTACATGATATTTTAGATTTCTGATATATTTAAATGAGCATAAGTTCTTGACAAAAAAGTTATGTCGTAATTTCATGTGCCTGTGGTATTTTTTATTCCGGTAGCGCCTCCTGCCGGGTTTAAACCGCAACATTAAAATAAAAGAATTTCGTTTGGACAGTGTAGACTGAGACTATGGAATTTGTTCTATAAATGCAATAAGTAGGAAACTAATTTATTACTTAGTAAATAATATTAGATGTGAGTTTTGGTTCTACTTATAAAGATCAGTGTTCCATATAAGTATGTGGAAGCCCTTTCGTTACTCATGGTTCTATAATACACCTCGTTTTAAGCACACAGCACGTATATCATATGTTTGAGGATGTCGCAACCCTAAAGCAGGTGCAAGATAACGTCAACAACGACAACGTCAGTTGTACAACGCGACACTCGCACCAATTAAAGGTAATAAGAGAGAAAAAAGCCACTGGTTTGAATCATTTTCGTCAATATCTTTGTTGCTATCAATTGGTTGAAAATATTTTACAAGAAACAAAAAGTATAAATGGTTAGTAATTTGTGTTATCAATGTTTTTGTCCCACCATTCAGTGAATATATAAAATTGCTTTACGGTGTATCAACATGCATATCTAATAGAGTCTAGTGTTGACACATTGTCCTATTACCAAACAGTAATCAGTTAATGCGGTCTGTTTACATAATTAGTGCTACTGCAACGTGACAAAACAACATATTCATACTATGTTAACAAAGTATCACATTAATTTGCATTAAATATAACTATTTACTATATTCTTTTCAATAAAATATTTCATTTATTTGTTTTCAATGGACATTATGAACGATAATTTGTTGATTTACTTTAAATGTTACTCTTTATTACTGACATAAATCAACTTTCATTAGAAGTTATTTTAGATATTAAGATTTTCGTTTATCCTTTTCTCAAGTAATTAAAGATGGACGTTCTACATTCTTTAAAATATCATGCTTTATTTATCTATGTCGTTATTACCGGTGAAACATAGAACAATAACAATGTTAAGTTTTTCATGTACTGTCTCTTTCAGACTTCAGACAAATCTACTTATATCATCACTTCATACATCAACAGCCTTTAATAGTCCACTGCTGGATATATGCCTCTCCTTAAAAAGGAGGTTTTCGCCCACTATTGCACGCTAGCCAGACGCTTTGGTATTGGGTTTGTGTAAAGTTTTCCTTCCCTTTGCAATGCTGGTGTTTTTCGTATTTTAACAAATCTACTCATTAGGTTAAAAAATACCGTAAAACGGTACTTTGGTGTCAAATAACTTACGATGTCCAACGAATATTTTAGATTATAAGACAATCAAAACCATACTGACTTTATGAGGTTTAGCGGTCGCTGTAACCCCTGGATGACGATACAAAACTATGTTCTACTGAAGTTTATGCCATTGACGCGTCTATAAACAGATTCCTTATCTCAAATCTAAAACATGACATATTCTTGTAGAAGCACAATACCCATGCAAGGTCGTGCCTTCATAAATTGTAAACTCACCCTGCTGCTTACCACGACGCACATGAGCGACGAGATAATAATCCAAAATAATAATACTAACAACTCAGTTTTAAAGAAATTATATAACATAAATACTACATACATACAATATTAATCACAATACCACGACTTTCCAGAACTGGAACATCTTAAAAACAATAAAGTAAAAACCTGTCGTAGAAACTGAAAACATTTAACCAAAACTTCTTTTACTTACAATTACATGATGTTTTATTAAATAGTATATACAAATTATTTTACATCTTTGATATGCTTTCATATGATTATATCGTTTAATAAAAGTTGTCTGCAAACCATTACATTAGGCCTGTTATTATTAAAGTATTAGGATAATTCAGATCTAGCATAAAGTCGGCCCGAACATATTAATCTTCTGAAATTGCGTAGTCATAAGCTATTATATTAACAGTCAGATGAACTGAATATTAGGATAATACTTAACTATCTTCGCCTCAAATATATAAGATTACCGACTTTTTATAGTATTATTAACAAATATTAATATCATGTACCACATGTATGTATTTTAGACGGCTTGAATTTCCCAGCCACAGCTAGTTCGAGATACAGGTAAGTGACATTGACTTTTTTCAAGCTATTGCTTATTGATATTTAAAAAAGATAAATTCAAAATAGTTAGTTTAGTCAAAATTCCTTCTTCTTTATTACTTTCTTTCTTATCCACCTGTGCCTTTCAATTTACTCCTAGCTTTCTCATTCTTTACTTTCAAAGCCCGGTTCTTTACAAGTTAAAGATGAGAAAACTGAGAGTTGACGGCAATAGACGTACGATTTAAATACGTGCCTGAGATTAAATTAGTTGGCAAAATATAAGTGTTTAGTATGCCTCTACCTACTGGTTCGAAGATATAGGCGTGATCCTAATTATGTTTGTTGCATTTTAAACCAAACAAGCATATGAGCTGTGTGAAATTTTAATTTTGGGTTTTAGAAAATATTTGAAGGTTTCCAAACAAAAGTAGACACTTAAGGTAGAACATTTAAATAGTATAATTATCTTTGTTTTGAAAGTTGTACGATGTAGTCTCTTGTTTTTGTATTGCAAGTATTCCTACATTAATACTTTATTATGTTTGTGAAATATTATTCAAACTATCTCCCCAAGGGAAAATTAAAGTAGGACTCACTAAATTCTTAGCAGACCGACTGAAAGTTATTGGTAACTTTTCCAAATACCCGCAAACTTTACACACAGCTTGCGGGCTATAAGTTTATAATTCTAAATACATATTGTTAGAAAACTTCGAATCATGACAAAGTTTTGGTCTAAAATTTGCCATAGAACTTAATTGAAGCAAAATATTTACAACTAAAGGTTTTTCCATATCGATAATTTGGAACTATCTATTGAAATTTTTAGCCGAGCTATACTTTACGCTATGCCTTACTCGTTAACCATCACAATATTACTAAATACTAAAAAACTGGGTAACTATTTACAATTAACGCTTTTACATCATCAATGAATCTACCTATGGAGTACGTTTTTTTATCTAGGCTGTTAGGTATACATATATAGAGTATTTATACTAAATAATAAACTAGTTGTAACACCTGTTCTGTTTACTTAGCTCTTTGTAGAACATTCGTAGTATTCGAGCTATATTATGTAAACCCGTTCGTATCTGCAGGTAACTAATATGAATTAAATCAAATTTACTTTGTCGCCAATATTGCATTATTTAATGTTAAAGCATTCTAGTAATTTTGTATGTAGCAAGTACAATTTTATACAATTGACACTGATTTTTGCTTGAATTAAAATAACTTATCATCTCGCACCCTGTTCTATTATATAAATATTGCTAGCTGTAAAAATGAGCGGGTATAAACTATAACTAAAAATGCTATTTAAATATGGTAGCACGACAATCACGGTCAGTGATGTCAACGAGAGTGCTTGATGTGCCGCTCCCGCGGAGTCAGCAGTTGGTATCCAGTTGTTGTCGAGGACAGACTGTTCAATCACGTTCTGCATTGTGTCTACAATAAAAGATTAAAATTATAAATATCTTAATATTACATCTAAATAATATATTTTTAAATTTCCAACACCTGTAGGCACTAAAACCCATTGGAAAAAGTCTTTAAAAGAAGAAAGGTGTGAAAATATAAAACATCAATTGCCGTTTCTGACAGCGTATATAAAATACTCACCATACGTAGTGACATCCGGTGTATAAAACTTTTGTTCCGCAGGTTGAAGTGGCACGGCAAATCCTAAAAAGAACATATTTTATTACAATTTTGGAAAACAGTCGAGTACTTTTGATACGGTGCAGTGATTCGAATCCCTATGTTTTGCATATTATTTTCAATACTAATTTATTTTTGTCCATATGAATATTTCTTTTACTCTATATTTACAGCAAGGCAGACATTGTGGCATCAGCTTGAAGTTACACATATACTAAGTAAATCCCTGTATAGTTAAATTTACCCTGTGAAATAAAAGGTAAAATGTATAATGTCCTATGTGTAAAACCTACATGCTTGTAAAATCTCATTCGAATTACAATATCGTAAAGAAAAGAACACTTATTTGTAGTTATTCCTTGGTAAAAACAGGTAAGCTAGGAAGGCATTTACCTATGATTTATATACATATACTGCATGCGCCCAAAATAGTAACTTGTTAATCTCATGCAGCTATATAATAATAAATGCATTATAAAAATATCGCGTCCTGAAATTCTTGTCAAAAACGTAATGAGATCGCTTTGCAAAACTCCTACTGACATAAATAGACTTTAGAACACGGTCAAGATCAACCAGTGCACGAAGCCCGCTACATTATACATATCTATACAAAATCACTTCTAGATACTTGCGAAAACCCCAGTAGGAATCTTTTCTCGACATCTTTCCTCGTATAACTTAAAAAACACTAATATGAAAATACGCTTATATTGTTCTGTTCTGTTCATATCATTACTGTTCAAATTATTATTATTTTTTAAAGGAGATTTTACAAACATGAATGAAATGGTCACAACGAACACCCACACCACACAAAGTGTTGTCCCGTGTAGGGATCGAACCCACAACACTCAGCGCAGTAGGAAGCGGCGAGGTGACCGCTTAAACCACTACGCCATCCGTGTAGTCATATAGTAATATTATCTATCTCATTGTATGTCAGTTCTACATATCTATCTTTCTTTATGCTTATGATTAACTCATGATTCATCTAAAAGTTTGTAATCAGAACTTACGCTGCTCCGTTGTTGTAGGCGCAGGAGTTGTCGTTGTTGTCGTTGTTGTTGTTGTAGTTGTGGTTGTTGTCGTCGTCGTTGTCGTCGTTGTTGTTATTTTTATTTCTATAAATAATAAAAAAAAATTCAGTGATTAATTACCTTTGTTCGAATAGAGACCACTTTTAAAACTATAAAGCGATATTATATTCAACGATTACACTAAAATAAAACTTTTATTAAATATATACTTTACCATATAATCGTAAAGTGCCTTCAGCCTTCCCTAACGTGTTAGTAGCCACGCAGGTATACGTTCCAACATCATGAGACTCAAATTGTGATATCACTAAAATAGTTCGCAACTGATACAAAGAAATTCTTTCTTCAGATATTTCATGTTTGCCCCTAGAACAAAGGAAAATGAGTAAGAAAAATGAACCATTTATCTTAATGAATGTGGCTGTTGCCGTTCCATCATTTTCACCTAATAAATATATATAAGCGTTATTATCCTTACATGTGTGTAGAATTGGTTTGTGATAAAAGTAATTATGAGTTTTGGTTTTCTTATAACTAACCAATAAATAGATCCCGCAGTAGAAAACAAACAATTTCAATATATACTCCCTTGCCTCCTGAACTACTCATCTACTGACTAATCTGAATATGGGAAACTATTAGCTCTCGTCATCATCATCATCTTCCTGATTATACTTGTTTTCGGCAGAATGTGACACATTGCAACGGGTTTTCAAAATTAAAAAAAATATGTCCACGCAGTTCAGTCAGAACAATCCTTCCGCAGAGCCTTTTCCCCAAACTAGTTTAGAATCGACTTTAAGTCCACTGCTGAAATTCCATTTTATACCTGGAGCGACTGCCATCAGAACTCCACAGTCCAAGTACTGTTTGATATCTCTATCTGTAGATAGACGCATTGTCAGACTGTAACAGATGTTCGTATGGCAACCGAACGAGCGATACTCTTCGTGGCAAGGAGGGGTCTCAATTAGTTAAGAATGGTCACCCATCCTCAGACTAACCTGGTTAAGATTGCTTAACTTTGCCATTTGTTAACCTGCTCGGTTACCACTTAGCTACGAGCCCCTCAAAGTGAGAAGATAAATTGAAGTTAGAAAACGAAACGAAAAATATGTTTTATGTTTCGCAAGAAAAAATCTGTAAACATAAATCACTGGACTGCTTGCTTTTGCAAACTCTGTAGTTGGTCAGAAGCAACGGACACGATCAGCCATAGTCTCCTTGGCTAAATATTGACTGTACATATCTTTTTAAACACATAGAAACAAAAATTTAAAGAACTCGCTTATTACATAAAATAGTAGAATCTTTTATCTTTTCTTTTGTGATTGATTGAAAGTTGATACTTATTTTATTACCACATTGCACAGTCCTTTGTGTACACAATATTCATATTTTTATCATGGAGAATACCTAGTTCATATTTGCAATAATGATAAATAAATGACGATAATAAACTAAAAAGACATTCGTAAATAAAAGTACCAAAACAAACAACAATAAGAAAACACTTGAGGAGTAATAAAATTAATGGTCTGATCATCTTTGCAGCAGCAGCTTTCACAATTTAATGCCCCGTAAAGTTTGAATGTCTCTCCGATTATGAGAGAACTTAATTAACTCATTATTTTAATTACTATTTTGTTTTTATTATATTTAACTTATATATTTAACTCCTTAGCGTTACATTTATTAAGACTTACCTTCGTTCAGACTAAGCACAATAGTCTTTCGTCTTCATAAAGTCAAATTACAAAATTCTAGTATACGAGTATAAGATTTATTGTAGGTATTAAAGGTAAATGAATGAAAAAATAAAATAAGGTGAAAATGTTCATAAATTAAAATTTTAGTGTGAACATGTTACAACAAGATTCTATTTTCAGAAATTCAGACGAAAGAATAGCATTCGCCAAAACTAAGAAAAGCAAATGTACCACTATCCGTTTCCTGTGTACAAAGTGCTCCAATCAGTGAACTTATAATACTTTATCTTAGTTTATATGTTCAAATGTTATGATGACCAATAAAAGTTCGAAATAGGGAACTATGAACTGCGTTTTGCAGCGAAAACAGATAACGGATAAGCGGAAAGTAGAGGCCGTTACTTGTTTGTCGTTGGCACTTGTCGATTTTTAACGACACTTTTATGGGTCTGAACTGGCTTTAGATAGAAAACAACTCAATTTAGGAGCGTTTGAAAAGTTAGGTAAAAATATGTTTTATATAGAGAATAATATTGCAAAAATAATGTAATAATTACAAGTTCAAATCATGCAGCTGGAGAATTAGTTTATTTTTTCTGTTTGGTAAGTTGGACAATTTAAATGAGGTTTTGTCAAATATCTTTTCTGAAATGTGAATTTCTATTACTTTTATAGTTGTTTTAAATGTTACTGGTTATTTGTAAATTAAATCGATAGAAAACTTTTGAAATTGAACTACTATTCTCAAAACGAAATACAAAAGTTGAATGTCCATGTGGTAACGGATTAAGAATACGGAGTGTCACTATCCCTATTCATCCCGTGGGTGTCGTAAGAGCCGATTAAGGTAGCAAACTACACAGGAGAACAGCACTGCAAAGAGAAGGAACATTTGAAACAAACACTATACCAACCCGTGGCCAGCGTGATATAGTAGGCCAAAACCTCCTTCGTCCAATAGTGGACCATCAAAGGCTGTTCATGATGATGATGAAGTTGGAATAGCTATAGATTTAAAAAAAAAATGTCGTGTTGAAGATTTACTACAATACTACAAATGCCGAACCACTAGAATTCCTTATAATGTAAAACAAACACAGTGTTCAATCTAGCAAAACATTGTGTTCTTTTTTTTTCTTTTAAGAAGACAACTCCCGCACTAGGAATAGAGCCTGCGGCAACACACAAAGAACACCCAGTCTCAAAATAACAATTTGTGGATCACATAAATTGTTGCCCCATGTGGAGATGGGACCCACAACACTCAGCGTAGTAGGAAGTGCCGTGGCGACTTCTTGAACTACTACGCCATGCGTGCAGCGCAAATATAAGCACTTGCCCAAATAAGTAATATATAATACAAGTGCAAACTAAAAATTCTTCCTTGTTTATTTCCGCTATCTCATTTTTTGTCCCAAGCAATATCCTATCTACAAAATACGGGATTTTGCCAAAACCGTAACTAGGCAACAGAAGCACAGCTGGGCTATAAATAAACAACATATCGTTGCCAAACCGTAATTCTCCTAACGAAAACATTGATTATGATACAGAAATAGAAAGAAAATTAGGGGATAGATAATTATAGATTGTATATGAGAGACAAGATAATAAGGACTTTCTTAAAGGTTGGATAAATACATCACGATCACAAATAATAATGATGACCATCTGCCCAGTTTCCAAGGAGGGCTGGCGTTAGATAGGCGGCTGACCACAAAAGAAAAAGCCAAAATAGTTTTGCAATGAAGTGAAGGAGTGCATGAAAAGGATATTGAGTGATAGAAAAGAATGGAAGAATGAAATTGTAATGAAATGTTAAAGCGGTGAAGATGATGATGATGATCTGTCTTTCCAAGGGTGTACTGTTAAAGAAAATTTGAATAAATCTACTCTTTGCTGTTGTTCACACTTTATTATGAAATAACAAAAGCTTCAGAGAAATGTTTCTGATATTGAACCTAATCTATTAATGCACACATAGTCTTTTTTCTCACTCGCTCACTAACTCTTTTGTTTGGAAAACTTTTGGACTCGAGTTTTGAGACTGCGTGACTGACTATACATGATAATCACACACACTACAAAATAGAATTAGTTAATAATATGCAAACCAGACGTGACAGAAGCTGAATGCGAGATGCCGAAAATCAATCTAAGTGGCGTGCAATGGGAGAGGCCTATGTCCAGCCACTGCCACTGGACTGCGATAGGCTGATAATGATGAAGATGCAGACGTGCTAATGCACTTTATAATACATATTTATTTTGAAATTATAGTACTTTATATTAATATTATTTTTGAGGATTATGAATATTCGTAAACACCACTAATGGAACATGCGAATGACGAAATGAAACTTATCGTTTACATCTACCACTTAGTTCATCCCTAAATAAACATAAAATATTGTACAACCGCTAATGGTTGCACTGATTTTAAGGTTAACTAAATAAATAACCGATTGTTTTCTTTGCCTGTACTGACAGTTAAAGTTAATTGATGTTAGTCTCCAATAAGACAAATGAAGGCACGTGCAAGAATAAATAAAAATAGAATGTGTTAGTATAATTGATGCTTCTTATCACGTATTGATATAATTAACGGATGTTATTGTGATTTCTAATTAAATGAGCAGACAAAGTTTATATACAATAAATAGGAATAACTATTTTCATTGTAACAGAGGTTTTATTTTCTAAAAAAAATCAAGATATTTTCGATCAAGATTTTATCAGAAGGCTGGTTACCATAGTACAGGCTCTGCTTAGTTTGGAAACAGACGGCCGTGTGTGAGATATATATGTGTGTATGTGTATATTTGGGTATGAATGTTTAAAAAAAGTAAAATTATTGTAAAGAATGGGTATAGCAGTGAAGGTAATCTGAACATGATCCTTTTTAAATAGTCTATGAATAAATCTCTAATATCGTTAGCTTAAAGGTAGTCAGACTTGCAAGAAAGTTACCTTTACATATGTAAATAATAATAATATAACTACACTAATATAACTACACACTTAAACATATTTACCCAGAAAGAATCATTTCCTCTCCACTTTTCAGCCAGTAGTGTATGGCTTGTGGAAATGCCTCTACAAAGCATTCCATCCTCGCTTGCGAGCCAGTGGGCACGCCGATTACTTTTGTTGCTACTAAAGTTGATGGTGGAACTGTGTACAAACATTAACACATTAATAACATTCACAAAGCAAAAACCAGTTTACTTACAACAATAGTTTCTGCGTGTATAAGACATGCCCTGCACACTTGGATACTATAGTATAGTATTAACGTATACAGTAGAATTGTCTAGTAGTAGGGTATAGAGCAATAAGAATTCACTTAAAACGATGGTTGTTTTTAAACAATTAAATCAAGCCAAATATATATATTTTAAAAATAAAATTAAACAAATGGATCGCTTTGATCACTATACCGTTGCATTTATTGACTGAAAAAATGGCACGCGCTTTTTAAATCAACGTGTATTCATCGTTTTTTTTTTAAAAAAAAACAATAGTTACTCGTAGTTTTTTGATATGAGTTTATCTCGGTGAGTGGTATACCCACGTCATTCCGTAAAATGGGATGTTATCATAAAGAAATCACTTAATATCATCGCCCACGTGTTAAATTATTTTCTTTAATAAGAATTTTACTCACGTGATTTTTAGAGAGGATTTTATATTCACTATAAAATAAACCAAACATAGATTGTTTACATTTGTAGGAGTTTCAATATCACAAATTGACCAACTCCTTTTGACTTATCGTCAGTAACTCATACGCTTAAAGGTTTTGGCGTGGTGTAAATAAAGAACTGATGACCTAGTTGCAGTAGTTTGCTCGAATATTCTGAAGCGTACGCTCAGTTAAAAGTTTTTCCATCGCTTGTTATATTAAAACTTTGTGAGATTTTGTGCCAATTAAAGCTCTATTTGATTAACTTATTCCAGCCAACTAACGATACTGTTTTATATAGCTCTAGACATTTTCCTAGTACATACTAAGCGTAAGTGTTCTAATACAAAGCATGAATTTATAAAGTATTAAAATTGAATGTTAGTAGAATAATAAAGTATAAATTATTATCAGTGGTGCTCTTTAAACGTCTCGTGGTTTGACTTGTAACGGTAATCATGACTTTAAATAAAAACACAATTATAGAATTTTGTAATACGTGTCGAGAATCGAACGAGCTCAGATTACCAATGACAAATCTTGCCAATATTCCAAGAACGCAAATATTGATTGATTCACGTGTAAAAAGTAATTTCAGACCTTTTTCATGCCATTTGGACAAATTAAAAGCAACAAACATATTAATTAATTTATTGAAATATACTGCCCTGTATAGTAGTGCCTTGTATGAGACTGCCAAATCATATATTGACAATGTAAACATACAAAATTACCAAAGTTAGACTACATCTTTTTAGATTAAATTGTTTTTAAATGTACTGCGTAGTGTAATAATTATCGAATGTAATATAATACAAACTTACAAGTTACACTAAGAAGAATGCGTTTGCTGACTGACGGCGGTACATCATTTGACGCAATACAGAGATATGCGCCCATCTGTCGCCGTTCTACCTTCGACAGGTTCAAGCTTGGGCCCATGAACATGTCCACTGTAACAAAGATAATTAGATTTATCTTCTAAAAGGCTGAAAACTGTGATACAAATATCAGCTAAAAATATTAGCTGTTATTTGATGGTGCTGATGGAGGTTATAGAACCCAAATCTGAAGTCACGGAACCAGCTATGGGAATAATAAAGCAAGGGGTCGGAGTCGAACCCACTAATGTCACACACTATCAGTATGCCAAAATTCAATATAAATCCTTTTGCCAGATAATTTTGTATACAAACAACCCGATAATTAAACCAAAGCCCGAATAGGCTCTAAATACCATTTTTGTAACAGAAAAGTATTAGGTATTCTTCTCGGTAAATGATTTATCCGGGTCTGATTTTCATTGTGTAAAAAAAAAAGTCGACGCTAGTAAAGTCCCAATCCGGATGGGTTTGGTACAAGTAAGAATCCAACTATGTATGGAGATAGTTAACCATAAATTCATGTAAACCTTAATTCCACTTTATTATCTTTGAAGAAGGCAACTGGAATAGCTTTATCTATACTTAATTAAACACTTTTTTTATTTGAATGGTTCCGATTAACCACTGGTAGTTTAGATAAATTCAATAAGAATTTTCTATGAGAAATGTTGAATGATAAAGTATCTAAACAATGTGCTGGTTTTTACAAACGATTACACTATTACTTCCACCTGAGCCAAAACTAGAAATTCATTCCGTATACTGCATCGAAAATAAATAAATTTAGTGGATACGACTAAGAATAATAGAGAATGAATAGAAAAAAACACACGAGAGGAAATGAAAGGCGACCACGGCTTGACAAAGAAAAATTAAAGTAATAGCGAGGAACAAAAGTTCAGCTCCATTGTGCCCGCAAATCGAAATGACGACTCCATCATTTGTGTTAGTTGTCACGGGTTTAATAGCCACTTTGTGTGTGTTGGTGTTTTGTTCAGAATTCCTTTGTACTTTGTACACTTTTTTTAGTAAAGCTTTGGGAAAACTGAAAAATTTATGGCTAACAGAAATTGTATTAAGTTATTGGTACATTATATTTTTGGATGTTCGCTTTTTACGAATGTTGAATAAAAAAATAGACCTAATAAGGTTTCACAAGCGTGGGTAAATATACACGGGCTAAAATATAAAGAAAAGCACGAGAACAAGACCCTTATAGGATCCCTTGTCTGTTTCTCTGTCCGTGGTCTCTTAGAATCATAAAAATCAATAACCCAGGATATTCTAGTAAGGAAGGCACCGAGAACTCCACCGTCGCTATCTCTATCTCTATAAGATAGTTTCCACTAAACTAGAATCATAAAAATTGGTAAAGCAAGGTATCTGTTACAAATGCAGAAAATTAATGAAAATTATATTACATTGGTAATTATATTAGACTCGTATGGTATTATATTACATTTCTTTTTTGGAATAACATATTTATAATGTGCTACGGCGCGTTTAATTTTCGAGAATAGATTCCCGAGGGCGGAGAACTATTAATGTAAAAGTATTGTATTGTAATATGGAACCATTAGTACTCGAGCCAGACTAGCAATTGTCCTGTTTTCTATTAGGTATTTGTAAAGGTGAGAATAGATGCTATAACTTTGAAATCCATATTTAAAATTGTGAATACCTTACATAGTGTAAATTTTATAAATTATGTATGTTGAATAACAGCGATCTGTTACATGTGCCTTATTTTGTAAGCGAGCATTACTCAAAGACTTAGTTAGTCAAAAGTACAAAGTGTATCGCGACGTCATCAAAGGCACACATACAAATTTCTACTTGTTTACCGACGTTACTTTGACATGGCTTATATTGTTTAAAGGAAAAGTTACAATACAAACATTTTGGTTTCATAACATACATTCAAAACTTTTGTTGTTAGTGTAGTAACATATGAAACAACTTAAATTTGTGAACAAGAGAAGCTTTGTGAAGTTAATAATTTCGAGACTATGCAAGTTAGTAAACTCTTAAATATAAAAATAAATTGAAATTATATTAATGTGTACAGACAATTTATTGTAACTATTTTACGTTTCCTTGTGAATTAAAATCAAACCAATGTTATAAAGTCGAAAGTTTGTGGGTGTTTTGTTACTTCTTCACGTAGGACCAATTTCGATAAAAATTGGTTCGGAGATAGATGACACCCTGGATTACCATGAAGGTTACTTTATATCTTGTGTTCCCGTGGGATGAGAAGAAATCGATATATACGAGTATATATATACATATATGTTCGATAAACCGCAGGTAACAATGCGGGACGGCTATATCAGAATACGTTGTGACATAATTTTATTGTTATTTTAATTTTACCAAGTTATACATTTTGAATATTAAGATCCTGGATCCTGGAGGAAACATAATTTCTATCTATTCCATGAATCTTTAGACCATAAAGTTGGAAACCCCAGTGGTTAGTGAAATTGTATTTTAATAAAATAAATTCCTAAAATATAGCGGGTTGAAAAAAAATATTAGACAAAGTTGTTACATGTTGGTAAGGAAAATCAAAACGGAGGATACATCCTCGATTATCTGCCGATTACCATACATGCATATAAATACTTAAAATTACATAAAATTACATTAAATATTTATGTACTGTATGAAAGACAATTTACTTTCTTTTACAAAATTATATCACAGTTTTACATAAAAGAATATAACCAATTATCATTCTTTGGCTTGTAATTTAAAAAATATTCTATTTCATCGGTTAAAAAGAAAAATCGTTAGAAAAGTAATTGAAATAGGTTTTGGGTATAACAGGAATGCAAATGTAATTTACCCTTTACAATCTTGTAATTGTAATAAACCTTTTGAAGATTAAATTACATTTACATTTGTATTGTCACGTGCTGGGGTCAGAAATATCAATGAGAAAGCCCTATTCACCATAATATTGCCACTCTATTATCACATGACATAAAACATTTTTGTTCTATAGTTAACCTCCACATTTGAAGCCATTTTGAGCGTTGACTCTGACTTTAAAAATCGAATATCATTTTAGAAGTTTGAGTTTTCTGTAAACAAAGCATATTAAGCTACATTATCCTTCTTTAGTTTTTATTATTCTATCTAAAAAAATGCTTCATTAGAATATGCAGATGCATACTTTCGTTGATCTTCCTTACATATTACACCATATCGTGTAGTTTTGCCTATAAAACAAGGTATTATAAGAATAATAGAAGGAGAATTTAGTAGTACTATTATTATTTAATATAACTAGTAAAACTAATCAACAAGCTATATACTAGTTTCAATGACTTTTATTGAATTGTGATCAAACATTTAAAGAGTAAAAACGTAACAATATTAAGACTGCTACGTGTTTCTAGAAACATTTGAAATTCAGAAGTAGATTCATCATAGGCTTTTACATGGAATATAGCCGGGGAAATGGCAAACATCGTCCGACATTTAAAAAAGTTGGATCTGCCCCTTTGATGGTATATAAATACTTCTCTCTTCGATCTTCAAAGATAAGGTTTTCAAAAGAATACAAGAATATTACAGTATTTACAGTAATGTTAATACTGTTTAAATAACATGTACACTTATATTATTTTGATATACCTAATACTGAATTTCATTCTTTTGCGTTTTACGTTTTGAATTCAATAGTTTTAACAACTAATCCGCTAACCTGCTAAGTTGTACAATACCAGTTCTGACGCCTAAAATATAAATACATTTTATCCTATGCATAAAACAGGTATGCGTTTCAATCAAAATAGCACACAAAAGTGAACGATTGGTAAATGACAAAAAGAGAGGACTTGCTGGAAGTAATACCGTACCTTGACGGTAAAGTCCCTCTTGTTTGTGTTGCATCTATATTTTCCCTTGTCATACATCTTGGTCTCACAAATTACAATCAACCAGTTCATTTACCACGCAGGTGTTACAGACGGTATATTTTAAGCGTACTAATTTCCATTTAATAACTACGCCGCACTGGCCAATCTAAGACAGGACTCGTAAATTAGCTCCGTCAGCATCTTGGTTTGTGATGTATATTAATCCCTATGTACAGAGAGTGGTTCGTTGTTCTATGTATTTATATTACTGTTTTAGTAATCGCACATTTTGAAACAATTAAGTTTAAAGACAAATAAAATAAAGAACATAAATAAGAAATAATAATAATCATCATCATCATCAACAGCCTATAATAGTCCACTGCTGGACATACCAGCAGTGGACATCTCTCGGATGAGATATTGATGGCTATGTTTAGAGATCAACATTGTTATTTACGTTTAATCGTATAACTCAAAAACTTTTTATTTTAATAATGTTGTGGTTTTAACTAGCTTCTATTATAAGCATTGTTTTTATCACTTTGCTTGATTAATTAAAAAACAAGCTGATTATTTGCTTAATAACTATAATTTGATTCGTTATTACCTCCTGTTGAATGCTGCATAATAGTAAAAACAAAAATAATTAAAACATAAAGTAACAAAATATAATGCCGCCTATAGTTTCCTACAATGCAAGAGACCTCCCGGTATTAAGAGGGGAGGTTGTTCCTCTGATAATCTTACTCAATCGGTGAAATCAATCAGTTTTTTATGAGACTGTGGTATCAGTTCTGTCGAGCCTCGCTCTCATACAGTTACGAATCATAATTTAATAAGAATGAGATATACTTTTTGTTACTATTTTTTGTTATTGCTGAAAAGAAATCTCTTACAGGCAACCTTTGGAGTGACAAATAGACTTTAAAAAGTATGTGAGTATGTGGTTCTGCTTATTGCTTTCCCAGGCGCTGTCGAAGTCGCATATGTTGCCCTCATCTATCACGCGATGGACCAACAACCGCACGATAAATCCATGGAACGCTACGAAATAGGTACGAGTATATTATAATACTACTAAATACTAAATCGCCCAGCCTTTCCATCGGTTTCCTCTAACTACTCTTTTAATTAGTCGTTATATACCTTATTGTCTAAGACAAAGAAATTATTTTCAAAGATAGTAACGTTAATCTATTAAAAAATCCATTATAAATGTAAAGGTGCAGCCTTCATAATCTTTCATTAAAACTTGTCTAAAAATTACTAACTCCATTAATTCCAGCTTCATTGTTTCTGCTGTAAATAATTTCCTTTCACAAACACTTTCTATTCATTAATAATCTTGAGAGTTCGTATCATTCAGAAAAACAACATTAAATATAACAATTGTGTACAATTTTAATTGCCATAAAATATTATCTTTGTTTGATTTTGCAGATTTAATTTAGATTTTCCATACAAACTATGCAGTACACTTTACAAAGTATTACTTTTAACTGACATACACACTTTACTAATCACGCAAACACCACATCTATACACAAAATATTTACATTAAAACACACGTGTAAAGTTAATTACTAAGTAAATTAATACAAATGTCAGCAAAAACCAAGTGAGATATAATTAATACAAAAAAAAATCGTTCGACTTATCTGCCAATAAAATTGTTCATTTATTTTATGCTATGTAATTCTTTATCTACTTAATCTTAATTAAAGCCTGGAGACGTGAGACAAACATTATCGGTATGTTTAGGTAACATCGTGCTATTTATAACTCTTAATTATTTTTATAAAAGATGGAATATATGTGGGCTGTTTATTCTTTTTACGTACCAAACAAATGTTTTTATCTTAACATGTAACATTAGTCAAGGAACAGCAATAGAACTATAACAATAAATGTCACCTCAATTATACAGGGTAATAAGTTAATGGTAGACTCCCTTGACTTATAATTTAGATTATCATCTTTATGACGACCCTGTAGGAAGAGATATTGCTATAAGTCACTATAAGAGATCGAAGCATCTTAATGGATAGTTAAGTTAGTTTTTTTTTGGTTTTCGCGTCCTTCAATTTCATCATTCAAAAAACTTTTAGGATCTTCGGATTTACCAAATTTCATTAAACGTTTCATAAAAGGTGTAATTATCTTAATACTAGTAATACTTAGTAATTACTCTTTGTTTTAGTTTTATAAAGTCAATCTTAGACTTTAACTCTATAATTTGAGACCCATTTTACAAAGAATATGTAATAATCGGTAAAGAATTATTAGAATTTTAAATTACCGTAATTTCATAAGACTTGACTAAAAACTCCATTATTCATAACAAACTTCTCTCCCTTGAGGATCGTCGCACATTATTTGACCTTAATTTTTATTCAAAATTTTGAATAACTAATTTGACTCAGAGGTAATTACACGCTTCCTTATCAATTATAATAAGAACTTTTTTTGACCATAAATTCTCAAATTTGTTACAAACCTTTGTGGTTTTTTTCTGTAATTAATCAATTGAAGAAAATTTAAACTTAACAATAAGGAAGGGTGTCATAAGTTAAACATGTCATTTATGTATCTATGCACTTCTGTCTGTCTATGGTAAACCAGTTTTTAATTTTTTTTTGGTTGAAAGGATTGTTGATTTTTAAGTTAATCGAAACTGCTATTAGTTATAACTTAAGTAAATATGTTCAGCCGTTGGAAAGTCACCAGCTCCATTTTAATCAAAGAGTTTTGAGTGATTGGTCATTTAAAATAATTTATGTGTGTTATATGAATTATTATAGAGGTCTTTATTTTAAGTAGGCTTGTGTATTTAAGCTGCGTACAACCTTTTATTACCTATCCAGTATGTAAACAAAAGCCAAAAATGAAATGACATAAATCTACAGCGATAGGACGCAGTACAACGCCCTTTATTATTTTCTGAACCTATTACACGTGGGTGAAAAACATTGACTTAATTAATATGAAGAGCTGAGAGCAATGTAACAAAACCAATATTTACAATGTTAGTCGAAATGGTGTTGAACGCTGCCAAAACTGACATAAAAATAAAAGACATTTCAAGTAAAACTGCAATCAATCATGTTAATCCCCTCCAGCGAGATATCTGTCAGGGAAAAGGTTCTCTTTGTTACATGTGAAGTTCAAAACTTTTCTGACATATTTTAATTCAACTTTGAAGCTAGTTAAACCTGGTTTCAACTTTTTACCAACAGGTGACACGTACACACAATAACTTAGTTCAAATTAGAAACAAAATCCAACTCTATCTATGAAACTAAGGAGTCCTTATTTGCATTACCTACTTGTGTAAAGCTATACCGGCTTCACATCGTGACGTATAGGTAAGTTCAAATCTCAAAAAGAGGGTACTTTCGGAGTGTATAGAATTCCTGCTTGAGCCGACAGGTTAAGACCACAACAATCATAGTAACGGTTTTTTTTAAATAAATGTAGAAAAATACTCTGAATAGAATAAACATGTACCTGTATTTAGGTAGTAGAAATATTTGAAATCATACCTTTTCGAAGCTCTCCTGCTTCGTTTCTTAACTGTATGTTGGCTCCATCTTCTCTCCTCCATAATATTCTCGGAAGAGGTCTGCCTTCTGCTTTGCAGGACAAACTTACATCTTGTCCTTCTCGAGAGACTAAGTCTCCACTTGTACCCTCATCTACTATGTTCGGAGGCACTAAAAAACAAAGTTTTAGTTAAAAGCGGCCACTATTTCGTTTTTGTATTACAAATTTGGAATATTGTTGTACTAAGCTGACGAACATTTAATGTGTGTGCATGAACATTTAATGTTTGATTTGGTGTGGGTGTTTCTATGCATAATAAGTATGTATTTACAAAAAAACTATATATGTATTTATATCAGTTGTCTAATAGCCATAGTACAAGCTCTGCTTAGTTTGGGACTAGACGGCGTAGTGTGAATGTGGTAATAAAAAAAAAAAAAATACCAAGCAGCCTGACCGTTGTTGGTTCCAGCCCATAAGTATTACATACATTAGAAGAGTGACTTGTGCTTTTCCAATCCTTTTCCCTTCTATGTAGCCTATTTGATGCTGATGAGTTTAATTACCATTAACATAAAAGCCACATCATTTAGGCCGTTTCAATTGCTTTTTTTTTCTAGTTTCGAACAGAAATTAGTTTCGTGCTTTTTAGTGTTAACTTACATTTGGACAAGGTTCAGAATCTTTTCTCCATTTTTTGCTAACTGATTTACTTTTGTTCCGTAGTTATTATATGTTGTTAATAAAAGTTTTCAAGAAAATAATTAACAAAAACAACGATTAGTTATTTTAATTAATTTGACTGTACCAATTTCTGTGTATTGGTAGGTCATATACGCTCAATTAGTAGCAATTTACATACATATATGTATATATATATATATAGTTATAACTCAATTTATGCCAAAGAATAATTCAGTATAATAATCATATACATACGTCGATTCACACACATAATAAATCTGCATTTGAAATTTAAATATAAAATTCATATCTTATTTAAAAAACTTATCTTATCTCTCATATAAAAATGTTAGGTTGGTTTATATGTGCTTCTAAGACTTAAAAAGTTCTGCACCGATTGAGCGCAAATTTTGACACGATACAAACCGCTTCAAAGATAGTTTTTATCTAGTTTTATGTCTCATTTCTCATCAATGTTACTACAGTGTGCTTCACTTATTTTTTAACAATACTAGAAAACAAAGAGATTCAAATAAAATTAAAAACCTTTAAAATATTATTATGGTTTAAATTTGTAATAATTGTGTGCCGGTTACACACGGTTTTTTGATTTACACACAAAGTCTATGTAAATAGTGGATTTTATGTCGTACTAGTCTTACTTCATGTAATTTTTTGGAAAAGAAAGTTTCGCAATCTTTTCTTATTGCAGGGGACTGTTACACATTTAAAATTATGTATAAACATATTTAAACAGGCTTTCTTAGAACATTTCAATGCATTTGTAAGTAATTGCAAGTAATAATGCAATGCCACGAGGTCCAGTTATTCTAGACATAAGAAATGATACATAGATGTGTAAATCGGAACCATACAAAACCTTTTTTGGTTAATTAATGTTTTGATAGAATATTACAAATATAATCGAACAATAATCAGTAACAACGACGACAAAAGTTAATAATTTTTTGTTACTACAATGATTTGCCGAAAACTACATTATTATTGTTAATCTATCATGCTCTGTACTTATAATTTTGTAGAGATATTTTTTATTTTAATTTTAATAGTTGTTTTACAACAAGTAAGTCATGATTTTCACATTACTTATTTATAGTCGTGAAAGTATGACACACACATTTCAATATCGATAGATGTTAAGAAGAGTAGTTTTTTGGTGAATTAAAGCGATAAACTACAAAATAGTCTCAACGCAACTCTTTCTTGTAGCTTCGTACAGTTATCGTTCGTGGGAAAATAAAGAAGACGTTACCAGTATTAAAAAAAAACAGTTTTAATATAATAATATAATACAAAACAAAAATAGGACTTAAAAAGAAGTGGGATGATCAATAAATAATAATGAAAACTAGCTTGGTTGAACTAGTAATAAAATGTAGATAGTTAAATGTTTAAATAGTTTAATGTGCCATATTTAATCATTAATATTCAACATGTAACATAATGTGATAATGTTGTAAACTCTTATTTGTGAATTAAATATGATTATTATCATCTTTATTTATTTTATATACATATCAATTATATTTTTAAACATACATTTTATAAAAAAGTATACATATTTAAAAATATTAAAATAGTAGACCATCGACATCGGGTACAGGGACCAAGAGACCTGTGGTTAGGACTCTAAAGACAGGAACATCCTTACTATATGGGCCGTGTCAAGAAGAACTGCCTTTTACAACAGACCCTTGATCCAACCGTCTAACGTGAGCCTTTTAAGGCGTTGGTCGAGGCTCTTAGCTATCGATCCATGAGCAGATACGACTATCAGAACAATGATCACTGAATCGAAATTATTACTAATTATTACATATGGACAATCTTATGAAGCAGATCCAAATATTTTTCGATTAATCGATCTATCGCCACAATATCAGGCTTATTGGCAACAATAGTCCTGTCTGATATAATAGATCGATCCCAATACAACGTAGTCCGACCATTCTCGAAAACTGGGTCGGGCACATACCTGTGGTACCTCTAAATTCACAAGTTGGTATTTTAGGGCTAGCTGTTAGTGTATGATCCTGGCTGGATATGCGTCATGATAACTTGGTCCATAATCGCACAAACAAAACCTGCGGTTTCTCCGAAGAGATCACCAAACCGTAGCCAGACATACGTTGTTTTGATTTGATCCATAACACTCCCAGATCTATTATTATTAGACTGTAGATATTAAACCAAATGATGGACTTTAAAGACTTTTATTTAATTATTAAGGAATATTTAAAACGTTTTTTTTTATGGTATGGGGCAAACAAACTAATGAGTCACCGGATGGTAAGTGTCTACCGCTGACTATGGATATCTGCAACGCAAGAGTCATAAGTGCTATGTCTCCCTAAGAACAGACAGAGAGGGAGATTTGTGACTCGGTGAAAAGTGTTGAATAAAAGTCAGCCCGTATTTGCCAAAGCTTAACTCTCCCACGACAATTCCTTTACAACATTGTTTATTGCACTGTTTAATTAAATAACTTATCAGCAGCCTTTACTAGTCCACTGCTGAACATAGGCCTCTCCTTAGAAAGAAGAATTTGGGCCCACTACACCACGCTGGCCAGACGGGTTGGTATAGGGTTTATTTCAAGTTTTCCTTCTCTTTCAAGTGCTGTTGTCCTGCGTAGTTTACTCCCTTAATCGACTCTTACGAAGCCCACGGGATGAGTAGGGGTGGTGACACTCTATATTCTTAATTCGTCAGCGCACGGATGGTGACGGATTAAGAAACCATACCACACCACACATTAAATAACTCTGTTATACATAAATATAGTTGTTTATTTAGCATATACCTTATTCACGCTTGAATTTAACTACGTATGAATGGTATAACTATACTAAAATATTTATTTTGTCACTCGAAATAATTCAAGAATTCATAAAAGAATTAGTAAGTTCCCTGTTAAAGCTTATAATTACCCACCAGAGGGAGTGCTAGTGGGAGTGGGAGAGGCTAAACATTTTATTATTCTTATCGTCGGCAACGTGATAGTTAATAAAAATGGAATAAGAGTACCTTTTATAAGGAATTAAATAAAGAAAAAAAACAATGACTTACACTTTTCGGGTTTAAGTAATTTAATAAAAATAAAATTATCAAAGGGTAAATTTTTAAATTGCCTGGTCAAAAGACAGTGAGCCAAAACTTAAAAATTATTAGGCATAAAACAGAAGGTAGAAATCTGTTGGCTCATATAAAATTACATACATAAAAATGAATGGGTAAGTATAGGTTCAAACAAAATTTAATTATTGGACATATATTCTTTTAAACCAAAAATAATGCAATATCCAAAAAAGAGCTGCATAATGCATAAAATTTGAGTACTCGTGAAAATAATAAAATTATTTAATTTAATTGTACCCGAATGCCTTATTAAGAGCTTTCGATTGCCATTCAAAATATTTGCATGTAGTATGCTTTTATTTATTAATATTATTATGATTAAAAAGCGGTACTTCAACATCCAGTGTTTCATTTTATCATCATTTTATCCATTTATTTAACAACATTTATTCACAATAGTCCATTAAAAATAATGTCACTTGCAGTTTTAAAACTATAATAACGTAATAATGTATATGTTAAATTTTAAATATTTCAAAGAAGAAGGGTGTTTAAATTAATACAATACACAGACTGCTTTAGTTATAAACTTCAATAAAGTATGCAATAGCTACATTTTCGCTAAAAAACACATTAACTAAATAGTGACACCAGGGAGTACTACGTTCTAGATGTGCATGAGCATTAATTATTCGTCGATGAATAGAAGACGATATAGCAATCAATACAGTAAATATTGCTGTTAATATACTTTTGACTAATTTAAAAAGAATAAATATCATACGCAGTTTTTTATATTACGGGTTTATACTTGTGGTACCTGTTCCAAACGCAGGAACGCAAGATGGAAGGGGAAAGGTTTGAAAGCTAAGTAATTCGAGATTAAGTAACTTTCTGCATTATAACGTTATTTAATTACAACGCTTACTTGACATACATGCTTACTTAATACTGCAAATAAACCAATTGTTTTACAAACTAGTACTAAAAATTATTCGAAAATATACATCAACAGTGTATTATATAGAAGTTCCTGAATGTACGAAAATATATTATTGCACATCAAATTACCCAAAGCGCGCTAAAGTAATACTGACACATATAACAAAAAATATTTTTTGCAACCCGTCTGTATGGTATAATAACCCAATACCAATTTTTTAAGGTTTAAGGCGACCCCGTCAGAAACTATATCATCTATATCTATTCCAGTAAAGCTGGTTAGATTATAAAAAGTTCCGCTTTTCCAATAATAGCGGTGCGCTACAAAATCAAATTGTTGCCAAAATTAATAATATTTTGAGGTAACTATAATATTTTGCTGTGCAATCAGTTTTTTGATTTGCAGTTAAATACTGCCCATTTATTATATATTTCTTTATTGAAT